GGAGGGGGCGTCCTGGCCGTCGGGGGCCGAGATCACAGTAGGGTCGTCATCGTTGCTGTTCTGTGTGGCGCCGCTACGGAGCTGCCCCGCTAGCAACATAAGGCACGCGCCTGTTGGGGGAGAAAGAGATTAACGGAACGTCCTTTACCATGGTAGACTGCATTAGCTAGCCCAAGCAGCCCTAAAATAATGTATTTACCCGGCTTTACAGAGAAAGCTAAGCTACGGCGGGGCCCGTGCAATAGATGGACTTCAATAAACGAAAACAAGAAGAGAAAAGGATGTCTGGACTTAAAAGCAATTTATATTATATGCCACCAATATTATTACGGTCACACACATCTCGACATGAATAATCAGTGATTCGAACAAAAATTGTCGACGCAAATTCACACGCTTTGTAACGGAACGAGCCGCGCTCAGCGAAATTTCTCAAGAACAGGTAAAATTTCGGGCGATGAACTGTCTCTGGAGCTTCGCCAGAAAAGATATTATAGCAACGACAAAACCAACCGCATCTTCCCTTACAAGTCATATAAGCTGGGCCTGTGAAGCGTCAATCAACTACTAGGGTGTGTGATCGACCAGAAGTCACAGACAAATGAATGGAAGTCGTGTGTGCCGTACTAATTCTCGAGTGAACAGGTGTCTAGCGGGCATGTGTGCTGCGAGTCATGAACGGTGAACAATTATCTATTCATTTATACAGCCGTCCACCGCACACTTGCCCACGCTCATTCGCTGTCCGTTAGTGCCTGCCAGACAAGCAACGGTCTGGGAGCTTTTTTTCCCCCTAACTTGTGTCTTAATTTATCATAAGACAGTAAAAGCAAAGTGTCTTGTGCATCTTATAATAAAACTTAGTGACATAATACTAGTTATTTAATCATTTCCATGGCACAGTGATTACCATGCTTCAGAAAGATATGGTATCAGCTTTCCAAAGGGCCAGATCGAAGTGCGTTTCATCGTCGAGATAAGGGTTCCGTTGCCGCCTCGGGGCAGCCGCGCATGGGAACGGTGTCGTACTCCAGGGAAAGTGAGGATGAGATGTTCAACTTCACATGCACACGTACAGGCATGAACACACACACACACACACACACACACACACACACACACACGCACACGCACGCACGCACGCACGCACGCACACACACACACACACACACACACACACACACACACAACACACACACACACACACACACACACACACACACACACACACACACACACACACACACACACACAGCACACACACACTCGCGCGGGAGAATATGCACGTACACACAATGATAGTTATATATACTAATAATACCAGTAACAATAATAGTAAAAACAATAATTAGAAGAATGACGATAAAGGCATCTATAATAACAAGAAACAATAGTAACAATAAATAAGTAATAATAGCAATAACGCCAAGAAAAGAAAATGAAGAAAAAACAGCAATTATAACAACAACAACAATACCAAACAACAACAAATAACCCCGCAATCACAAAACAGAATAAGAACGACAACAAATAAAGACGAGACACAACCACCACAGCAACAACGGCAACAACAACAACAACAACAACAACCACGACTACGTACCGAGCGTTGCGTAGAACGAGACCAGTTTCACGTCACCCTTCAACCCCATCAGGATGTCCAGGGAGGTGCCTTATGCAGAGAGGGGGCCGGGGTGTGGGCGTGGTGGGCGTGGGCGTGGGGAGGACGGGTATGTCTTTCGTAAACTCTCAATCCCTATGGCACTGCGCTAACACTTTCGGACACGTATAGAAAAGTGTCATGTATATAAATCCTGCGTAAGTGTATACGAGGGATGGTCAGATACTTCATATATATATATATATATATATATATATTATATATATATATATATATATATATATATATATATATATATATATATATACGTCTGAGAGGGATGGATTTGATATCTAATTAAAAAATATATATATAACGTAATGATTCTCCGACGAGGGTAAAGTTGGTTACTTCCGGATACCGAAACCAATAAAAAATAAATAAATAGATGAATGAATAAATAGATAAATAAACAAATACAACAGATTTAAGAACCCTACCCTTCCTCACAACATCAAACCAAAAAAACGCCACGAAGAGAAATAAACAAAATCCCAAGATAACAAAGTCAATAAATAATAAAATAAGTAAAAATAATAAAAATAGGGCTCCAAGATAAGAAAAAAAAAAGGTTATCAGGAAGCTATGGATGCCCGTTCGAGTCTTTTTCGCAGCCAACCGGACGTCCTGTCGCCGAGATGGGAATCCGTAATTGGAAAATCCCCGGCTAACATCCGTGAGTCATTTCCTGTCCTCGCTCTCCCCCAGAAAATAACAATCGCCATGATAATATTGATAATGGTCATGATGATGATGATAATATTAATAATGACGACGACGATGAGGAGGATGGGGGAGGATTGATAAATAGTAATAACAACAACAACAACAAGAATAATAACAATAACAATAATAACGATGATTCAAAATTTCGACCATGCTTTTTTTTTGTACAAGTAAAAAAAATAATACCCATCGTGAAATATATGAAAAAGGATTTAATAAAAAAAACGACCAATAATACAAAACGTCCTCGAACAGCTTATATTATTTCATTCTTTTCGCTTCGCAAGGCACAGGTAAGAAAAATAAAAGCTTTAACGGTTTATTCCTTCAAGGCTGATGACGATCACTCCCTTTCTTCCTTTCTTTTTTCTTTTCCTTCCTATCGTTCATTTGACAATTTGTTTAAACTCCAACGAGCGATATTGAAAAAAAACGAACTTAATTTATATCACTTTCCAATCGATACCCAAGACCCAGCGACATTTAACGAAAACCACCCACAAAAAAAATTATAAAAAAATTCCCCGACATCGCTAATGGAGGAGAACACTCGCAACAAAACACGCACACACACACACCGCCTCCATTTGTGATGATAAGAAGCGCTCTAATCTCAACCACCAGGCCGACGTTAACGCAAATCATAATTATTCAAATGTCGTATTAAGAGACTGAAAAGCCACTTTAATAATGTGATTAAGCTCCTACACCGCCGCCCTGCTGGTGATTTTAACGCCATGTTGACAGATATCGCGGGAACAGACTCCCGCCATTTTTATTTTCATATTTTTTTTTCTCTCCTCGTTGCTTGGAGGTACGTTCCGAGTGGAGAGTTTGTTTCTTTATCTATTACTTTCCTTATCAACTTGTTTGTTTATTCAACAATTCGCATTTTGTTTATTTTACAAATTGATTCGTTTGTTTATTTTCATATCAATTCTTGTGTTTATCTATTTGACTGTTTATGGACATCTATTTGCTCGTTCATCTGTTTATATATCCATTCGCTTGTCTGTTTACGAATGTATCTGTTCACTCCGCATCACCAATGATATTCGCAATTCTTACTTAAGCAACTAAGCTCTATCGTAGCAGCGAAGAAAACAGAAGGGAACGTAAATAAACAAGACAGAAAATCACACATTCAAACAACAGCGACTTGAGATTCCCATATGATTATAAACTACTGACCATAACAGCAGTAATAAAGTGCCATTAGGAAACATGATAATGTCAATATTTAGTGGCTGGAGTAGTAATACGGTGTCAATTGAGGCCGCTGTGGTAATCAAAACGACAGTGGTACTATCATGTCAACATTAAAATAATAGCAATGATATCAGCATAGTGTAATCAATAACGATGGTTATTTGTTTTATGGTACAATCAGATCAGTAATAATAACCATAACTGTTAATGCAAATAATCATCAACAACGACAACAATAATAGTAATAATGTTATCATTATTAGTAGTAGTACTAATACTGATTTTAACAATAACAACAACAATATCAATGATGATCATAACAAGAATGATAATGATAATAATAATAATAATAATAATAATAATAATAATATATAAATAATAATATATTAATATAATAATATCAATATTAATAACAATAATTGACAATAATAACAATAGTAAAATAAACAACATAAATTATTCGCCTATGCCCGATCTACTGAATGAAGCTCAGAAGACGAGACAAGAATTTCCGAAACAGCCCCCCCCCCCTCAAGCCTTCTCCAGCCTCCAGCAAAGACAGGAGTTCCTTTCAGCCAAGTGGGATTACCAGCCTCTCTCTCTCTCTCTCTCTCTCTCTCTCTTTCTTTTCCGTCTCTCTCCTCTCTCCTCTCTCTCTCTCTCTCTCTCTCTCTCTCTCTCTCTCTCTCTCTCTCTCTCTCTCTCTCTCTCTCTCTGTTTCTCTCTCTCTGTTTCTCTCTCTCTCTCTCTCTGTTTCTCTCTCTCTCTCTCTCTCTAGCTCACTCCCCTCCTTTTTGCCTCCCTCCCTTCTCCCTCCCTCCCTCCGCGCCCTCCCCCGCCCCCACGCCACGCTGACCCCAAGCCCGATAACCTAACCGCTGTTGCCGAGATAAGCTAAATATTTCTTAGACAGGGAGCGAGGTCGAGTTTGAACGGTAGGGGAGGGGATAGGGATAGGAGGGAAGGAAAGGGAAGGAAGGGGATAGAGGGAAGGAGGGGATAGGAGGGAAGGAGGGGATAGGAGGGAAGGAAGGGGATAGGAGGGAAGGAAGGGATAGGAGGGAAGGAAGGGGAGGGAAGGAAGGGGATAGGAGGGAAGGAAGGGGATAGGAGGGAAGGAAGGGGATAGGAGGGAAGGAAGGGGATAAGAGGGAAGGAAGGGGATAAGAGGGAAGGAAGGGGACAGGAGAGGAAAAGAGAGGGGGTGGGCTGATGGATATGTATAAAAATGGTGAGGAAGGAGGGATCCATGGGAGGGAAGAGAAGGTAGAGGGGTGGGGGTGAAAGGGAGGAATGGGAGAGGAGAGTGAGAGGGAGGGGAGGGGAAGCGAGTGGGAGGAAGAGGCTACTGAACGTGCATAGGAGAAGAGGAAGAGGCTGCTGGACATGCATCCAAGGAGGGTGGGAAGATGAAAGGTGGAAGAGAAGGACAGAGGAGGTAAGAGGAGACAATAGGAAGGGGAGAGGGAGGTGATCGGTGTGCACGAGAAGGGAAGAGAAGGGAAGGAAGG